ATCAGATCATTTGGTGTTATTCAGTTCATCGAATACATTAATATAACAATTTATTCTTTTATTTTTAACATACATGGGTTGGAAACAAATGTGACCTATTTATGTGTTTATTATTGGCATATCTAACCAGCTTTATGGAGTGGAGTGGATTCTTTCCAGTAATGTGAATCGCTTGTTTGTTCAAGAAATTTTCCGTCTTTGTGGAATTTGAAAATGCATTACCATATTTACTAGAGCCCTATCCTGAAATTGATGAATGTAGCCCACATCCTCATGTCCTTTTTCTCTAAGATTAATGTTAACATTATCTTCCCATCTACGCCGACACAGTATCAAACAACGTAATCTGGCATTAACAGCTCGCAAATTTATACTGCGTACTGGACAATCATGCTACGACCTTGTCAGTTCTGTGCTTTTTATTAAGAACAGTGAAGTTGAATGTCTAATAGCGTAACGTAAATGTCTTATTCGTGTGTTAAATGGTGATGGTTTCACTGCTGTTCTTAATGTTACTGCATCAGAAAAACTATTTCGTAACAGTTCACAAAATAGGTTAATAAATTCATAATTATTCCTAATTTCATATTTTTCTTTTAATGATTTTCACGACTTATCTAAATTCATACTATCTGGCCGTTATACGAAAAAAAATTATAGTTTGTTTTGACATATGTAGGTCTGTGGCTTGTACGTAATTCATCATGTGACATTCTGCTCATTTGGTCTCGGTTAGTGACGTCTTTTCTTTATCTCTTCTTCACTCGTTTCTTTCTTTCCTATGTAACCTACATAGCGGATTCTGCATCCTCTCCATACGTCACACTCGTGCTGAAAAGCTAATGGGGCTTTACGATTCGAGTTTTCTGTTTCTTATTTTTTTTGCGCCCATTTTGAGCTTAATCTTCATTATGATGTAGGTCTCGTGATCTTTTAATTAGTTTTCTTAAATTATCGAATCACGTCATTACGACGTAAGTTAGTGGTGACCATCTTGGTCTCTGTTTGCTTGACAGGGATATATGTAGGAATCTTCTTTCTTAGATGGGAGCATTCAGAGGTAATTTTACTCCCAATAATAGGATGATGGCCGACAGAGGTGATATGCTGCTTAACATACCGAGAGTTGTTTTGTTTCATTGGACCGACCATCTAAAACTCAGCCGTTGTCCCCCTACCTTTTGACAGAGTTTTTGTAGGACAGTAGCCATTTCGAGGATTAAAATACGCTAACTTATTTCTAGAGACTGCAACAATTTAAGTGTAGCAGCATCATTCAGGACTCATGCGTACTGTCAGTTCATGGCTGACAATATGTAATCTCGATTTAAAAAGTAAAATTACTTTTTAGAGAACAAAGAAGTAATTTTAATATGTTTCGTAATATTGCGCGATCACATTATTCAACACGACAGAGTGATGTTTCAGGTTCTCACCGCTGCGAGTATGAGGACGATAGTCTTATGAGATAATGCTGGGATAATGGTAGGATAATGAGTCGATTAGAGGATGATGAGTGGATGTTGGGGGAGGGGGTCATAGAGGAGGGGACGGTAGTGTGATAGTGTGGTGATTCTGGTGTGATGCTGAAGGGATAATAGTGGGATAGTGAGTACATCATGGTGGAATAATGGTGGGGATAATGTTGGAGTAATGAAGGGATAACGGTAAGATATGCGGGATAATGGCATAATGGGATAATGAGGTATAGGTGGGATGAAGAGTGTTAATTGTGGGATGACGAGGGGATAATGTACGGATAATGGAGGGATTATGAGGGATGATGAAAGGATAATGGAGGATGATGGGAGATAATGAGGGGATAATGGTGGGATAATGAAAGTACTGTGAGGATAATTGTCGGCGTTGAAATTGAAAAATATGGTTATTACTTTACATGAAAACGCATAGTTCTTGCATTTGTTTTTGTAAATATAGAGAAGGATAATATTATAATTGATCTCAAAGAAAGAAATGGAATGTGAGGATTTTAATTAAATTCTTCTCGCTCGGGAAGGGGTTTCTGTAAACACATTAACGAGTCATTGCGTTCCACAAAAGGCGTAAAGCTGTCCCACTATACGTCATGTAGGCGCTTAGGGGGAGAGCTTTACTCGTTCTTAACCTCGGCACTAGGTGGGAGTGAGTTGTCCCACAAAAGGCGTAAAATTCTTAACTGAGAGAAGGACTCCTTAACTGACCATCTAACTCGTATCAGACAAAAACTGTTCTACATATTGTCATCCAGACAATAACAAAGAAATATCGAAAGTGAAGATGTAATTTTGACCGTTTGCACCGGGAAGAGCCGCTTTTACGTTCCGATAAAAGCCAGCGTTTTTCTTGCATGTGATGTCCCAGAAGCCTCTGGCTCATAACTGAAATGGAAGGTCGCATTGGACTTTATCACAAGAGAACGCTACTCTCACTATTATGAACCAGATGAATCCCGTCCACATCATGCCGATTTCTGATTTCCTTAAAATCGATTTTAATATTGGTTCCGAACAACAGTGTGTGGACCTGGTATTGCTTCCTCACATACACGAAGTGCTGTTCAGCTAAGTCACGTATTAAGAAGAACTGGTGTCTTTGTATCATCAGACGCTATGCTATGCGAAGATAATAGTACAATTGGCAGAGTTCTTGATTGGGCTGACCTTACGAATGCTTTTAAATGTTATGTGAATTGCTCCACTCGTGTTGTGGAAATTGTCCTTCACCAGATGTGGTGGCAACCAGTCAGTCTCGGCGTTAGAGGGCATTCCTTTATTGCCCTCCCCCCTCGTGCCACAACAGTCATTGTTCCTCCCCCCTGCTCCACTTCCTCTTGGAAGGTCATCCGTCCGGTGACAATGACATCAAAGTAACACGTCCGCCCTGCTGTGTTTGCACGACATTCACTTTTGGACTTAGCAATAGTTCCAGAATTGTGAAACACTGTGAACTCGCTGTTGCATCAAAATGTGGGTCACATCCCTCAAGTGGAAGCAGATTTTTTATTTTGGGATAATATTTCAACTTGCGTTGGGACAGAGGAGGCAGCAAACTTCATTCTCGTCGCCGTGAAAATTTCACATTCCACTTGCTGTAAATCTAGATCTTTCGGTTGTTCCAGTCAAAACTTGCAGGCATTTTTGCAGAACAGTTACCGTACCACACCCAGCCCGAGACCACTTCTAACCAAGCCGCGAAATTGTTTCTTAATTTGTTACAAGTTATTACAAGCTCATTTATTTCCTTTATTCTGGAGGATTTGGAAAAGAAAATCATGATTCTAATCTCTTCTGCTGCTTTAAGTGCAAATGCCACACATGCTATTGAATTTAAAACTCTATTTGTAAAGTGCAAATTTTCCAGGAGCAAATTTAAAATAATATGTAACTCTGCAGGAATTTGCACAAATATTTGTAATTTACGAATAAGTAGTGTTAACTGTAAGGAAAATTGCTCTGTGTTTTAAAAAATAGTGGCAGGAGGGGTTTCGTGACCATTGGGCCCAAAGGAAGAAAAAGGCAGACCGCACTGACCTACACCATTTTGATTCACAGGAGATTCTGGAGGGGTTGTAACTGAATAGGACAAATTGGTTGTTTCTTCTCGTGTATACTGGTCACACGATAATATTATGCCTCTTGTGTCGTGACAGAGTGGTTAGTATCCCTGATTCATACTTCGTATTTGGGATATCCAGGGTTCAAATGTCAATCCGGTCAATCTGGCTGAGTTATGTCATGGTATATTTTACATATCGGTCTGTGTGTTGTGACGTCATCCAAAGATCAGTAATCTTAAACCATTTGCACTTTTGGAACTATATTGATTGACGCTAGTTTCCACTTTTAAAACACGCAGGACTACAGCACCGGATCGGAAATACAGAGACAAAATATTTTGCAGTAACATGATCTTCAGTTGTATTGAGAACGGTCGTTTGATTTAAAACCACTCATACTTGTAAGCACGTTTTATGGCTGTTGCCTGCTCTGTTCCTTTTTTATGTAAACTTAGGAAGGATTCTCATCATCTGCCCAAGAAATGCAGACATTGCGTCATGGAGATAAGTTACGTGGTCATTCGGTCAGTCATTTGCTTGTTTTTCCATGTACACCAGCATATGTATATTGATATAATTTATTCTTATGTGTGGTTATTTCATTACGCTGTCAGGCGAAATAGCGTACGATTATAGGATGGTTAATGAACAATGAACTGGAAAGGATGTGGAAGAAAGCTACCGTGGCTTAATTTAAGGTATTATCCCGGCATTTGTCTGATATTATTTCGACATCTTGTGAAAGAGTAGTGATTATAATAAAACGATGACATTGAAAACTTCGTGACCTTATGTGGAAGTGATATAGTCATTGATATTTTTTTCACTGATTGTATGACGTATATATGCAACATTTTAAGCGCACTATAGGCTATCTCCAGACTAACACGTGCTACTTTTCTCAAGTTTTGTTGTCAAATGTTTTCTTTCTGATTATGTAGGTATATGTTTCATTTATATATATATATATATATATTGAAAGTGGTGATGACAATGATTATTGAGTGTTGTGTGATTTATCCCGAAGAACTGCTTTGTCATTTGTTCATAAGCGTGAAAATAAAGAAAGGTAAACAATGCTTTTGTCATTCCTGTAATTTCACTTCAGTTGGCAAATGGATGCAGTAAGTGTTGTTCATATATTTAGTACTAAGATGTTCTGATTCTATGGATTGAAGAGCCTTCTCCAAAGGATAAATTAATGTCGTCCTGTTAATAAGCAATGGCCGAAATTGTAAGGCCACCGACTAGTATGTGGTGAAGAGTGCTCAAGACTAATAACATTTTGAATATCGTCTTTTTATTCTTTGGGGTGTGGTGGTAATTTGTAATGAGTGCGCGGTAATGAATGGTAAAGTTATAAGTTGTCAACACGCGCATGCACACGTACAGTTTCATGAACACTCCCGTTTGTATGAATGTAAGACATGCATTTTTTTTTCAGACTGGAATGAATACAGACAGCGGTCTGACAGTGAGAGAAGCAGCGTTCGACGGAATTAACGAGTGAGTACAGTTATGGTACTGAATTATAGAAATACAACCAATAACACTTTGAGACTGCACTTCAAGAGACAGTTGTACATACTTTCGCCATCTGTTGTGAACTATTGGAACTAGGTCTTTGGCTCATTCGAACTCCATATTGTTTCACAGTTTGCTCTAAAAGAATATGATCAATAAAACAAGCAATTATTAATTAAGCCACAGAAAAGAATTATAGTGTATGGCCATGAAATTATGAATCATTATAGACACCCAAAGAGAAGGGAATGTAATAGATATTTTGGGCAGAATTTGACGTTGCTAAAGGGAAGTCATTTTGTTTGCGTCAAGACTACACAAATTTATTTACGTTTATCTTATTGCTTTTCATAGTATCATTTAAACAGAACCTTAATTGAACTGTGTTGTTTTTAGATTCACTGTAGACAACAAGCTGTTGCATCCAGAAATAGCAGAATGGTAAGTGTGTGTTAAAGTCAGCAATTGAATGTCTAGCCCTTTACGAATTTCGAGAGGCCGCTGCAGTACAGGCTTGTAAGTGATCAGAGAAGCAGACACACATGTCGGGTAACAGTGATGCAGTGTGATTTTATTCATTAAATTATTTGTGCATTAGATTAATGTGACTATGATGATCTAACACAATACTGGAATACGTTCATTAAACCCATGAAATTAATAGTTGTGATATCAATCTGGCATCTACAAGAAAAAAAGCAAAATCAAATAAAGCAAGGGAGAATAGAAAAGTGTACCCCAGGACTCCTATGGGGAGGTAACCAGGCCAATAAGTTGAGCAATATCATCTTTGTAGAAGAGGCCTCTTTAAATTATGCAGTTAATTGTGTTAACAAATGTTTAAAATGTCAAGATCAATTGTAAAGCAAGTATTTTACACAGGTGGAAAAGTATTATTTTATGACACCTCACCACTATCAATGGTATGGGGAAATTTAACTGTGTCTTGTTTATCAAAGTCTGAGGCAGTTTCGAAATGTGGTAAAAGAGACGATTTAGGTCAAACAACTATAATTATGCAAGATGGTTTGGATATACAGGAGTTACCAGCAATTGTAAGGAAAGTGAAGGATGTTGGTTTAGTGTCTCTACAGAATTGTTTGAGTTCTACCAACAGTGATTATGCAAAGAATGAAGGGCGTATTTGTTCACATACTCCTAACATATCTAAAGAAAGAAATGAAAATTCTGAGAATGTGACCCATGTAGATAATGATACAGAAACCACCGAAATAATTGAAGGGTTCAACAGATGCTTCACTACTAAGGGTCTTTTCTTACTTTTGGAGACTATACCAGATGAAGAAGTTATCCCTCTTGTAGCGTTTTATGCCTTAAAGAAGTTAATAGAGCTTGAAAACAATTATGAGTATCGTAATGCTTCTGTTAGGAATGGAGAAGAGTTTACAGAAAATTTCACAAGGACAGCTGTCTTTAGTCGACTAATAAATACTATAGCATCAGGTTCAGAATCTACCATAATATTGGATACATTGAAGGTACTGAGCCGGGAAATGTTTGGTAGCAACTCTTCTATGTACAGAGACAAATTGTGTGATGAAATTCTTGTAAGGGTTACAGATGGGAAGTTTGATGTGGTACAAGTATGTGAAATAGTGAGAATGTTAGCTTCATTTATGGATGCAAAAAATAATGCTGAAAATGTGGATAAATTATGGGTTGGACTTCTTGATAAAGAGAAAGAAATAACTGAAAAGAATATAATGGAAGTTTTCCGTATTTTGCCAATTCTGAAACAAAGCCGAAAAATGGTTTTCAGTCTCCTAGAACGGAAGTCTCGTGTTGTTTGGTGGAGATTGCATGGAAGTGCAGTAGCAGAGATTCTTTCTATCATATTGGAAGTGAAATTGTTTTCACCTCAGATGATGGTTATCCTCTCTCGTTGGACAAACACCAATATTCATGCAGTAAGCGAGGATGATTTGTTGGAGATAGTAAGAGGCTTCTGTGCATTAGACTATGTGGATTCAGGAATAGCAAAAGCTCTAGAACGTTATGTCAAGGCAAAATCATCAAAAGTTAAGAATGCAGCTGTGTTGGCAGCCATTATGGATTACTGTGGTAGGTTCCGGCTTCGATCAGAGCCTATTTTGAAAGGGTGCGAGGGATACATCATTGAGCATGGTCAGAATCTTTCACCTGTTACGATTAAGGCCATGTTTGCTCCATTTGGCATTCTGAATTTTCAGCCATCTGACAGTCTGAAATTCTGGTATGCCCTTGAAAGCATACTTGATGAGAAGTTTGTTCAGTTTCGCCCTGAAGATGCTATTGATGTTTTACTGACATGTGTGTATCTTGGAAAGTTTCCATTGAATTTTGTCCAGAAGATCTTCAATCCTTATTTTCTTGACCGGCTGCATTCATACAGGGATGTGAATATATTGAGACAGCTGAGGGCAAAACTGAAGCTTTTTGATACTGCAATGACTCTGGAATGTTCCCAGTACAGGGGCCCAATGCTTCCTAGAGACCATTCAGCTAACAGTTTATGGCAAGATGGCAGAATCCATCGCATGATCAACTACATTTCAGAACCTCTTGCTGACATCACTGGTGGGATAGAAATGCTCACTACTTCAGTGGTTCTGCCACATCTTCCAACTCTGGAACTTTATGTAATTGATATCATGTTGCATCCAAGTGGCATGGGAGGGTCTACAATACGCTTCAATTTACGCCATGACTGCAAAGTATATGTGGCCGTGTTGATTCATGTTCCCGAACATTACTGTGCTGGTGGAACAGAACTTATTGGACCACAGTTAATGAGGAAACGGCATTTCAGAAGGCTCGGGATGAAAGTTGCGGAGTTACAATATGATAAGCTGACGAAGCTCCGAGTGCATCCCAGAACTCTGCAGGAATATCTTATTGAAAGGCTGAAGTCAGCTGAGGATGCCATGTGAAGTATTCTCTGTCAATATAAAAGTAATGCCAAGTAAGTTAAAGATGAGTTTTTGGAGTATAGAAATGTCATTTTTTAATTTTTGTCATAATTAACATGTAATCATTTGCTTTTAACCCTCTTATATTTGGAATGTATTAGTAAAATCACATCAAAATACTTTAACTAGTTTCTCAGTTTTTGTGCTTATCATGCATCACATATTTGGTATGTGTTTTAGTCGTGTGATCAAATCAGACTTGGAACTGGAGGTGTTGCGCTATGTGAACAAGATTTCATCAGATGCACACATTCATGTGATGCGCACAATTCGCAGTGGGATGATGGAGTATCAAGCTGAAGCAACATTCCTCAATTACATATATGTAGTTGGAGGCTGCCGTTATCATTCATATACATGCATCTGTAGTAGTGGTGAGAATGGGTCACTTCTTCACTATGGACATGCTAATTCGCCCAATGATAAGCATATAAATGATGGAGACATGTGGTCAGTATTATAAAATATGATAAAAATATTGTAATAAGACATTATAATGGAATTGTAAGGGACTGGAAATATGTTTACATGTTGGAAATGTTTCTGTAATTTTTCTCTGTTGAAAGTAGAAGACAGTTTCCTTTTAAAGAATTAAATTCTGTTTCCAATGTTCAATTAGAATGTCATCCTTTTTTATATACCGCAACATTTCAGAAGCAGATTTATAATTTATATCATACAGATACCATGCATTATATACTGCTTCAAACTGAATAGCCAGAGGTTTGGGATTGAGAGCTGTTAATGATCCCAGAGTTTGGATTTATAATAGCCATCACCAAATTGCATGTTTCGAGATTATGGAAGGTTTTCCTCCTTTCTGCAAGTCAGTACAGCTGTGCTGTAAGTTCTGAGATGTATTCACTTGTAAGATTTGAGGTTTTCACAGCGGTGAGTATGAAGATTTCTGTCTTCTGGGTTGTTGCGCTGTGTAGTCTGGTCGATGTTAACCAACGTTTCAGAGGTCATACTGCCTCCGTCATCAGGGCGATGAAGATTTCTGTCTTGTGGGTTGTTGCGCTGTGTAGTCTGGTCGATGTT